GCTTCATGGCTTGACTTGCTCTGTCTCGTCACTGTTCCCACGTTCTTCTCTGTGTTTCATCCTTTGTGTCTCCCCAGTCTGTCGTGTGTTTCCATGTTTGTTTATCCCCATCTTAGCTTCAAGCTCGCATGCTACTTCTTCTTTTATTTTGTTAGTCCTAGTCTCATGTGCATTTTGTTCAGTTTTGCTTCCCGTGCCTTGTTAATCTCCAATTGTGTTCCCTCTGTGTTCCCTCAGAGTATATATTATCTCTTGCTATTTGTCAGAGCGTGTGTTTGTCTTCCTCTGTGTCTCTCAGGTTGTGTGTGTCCAATGTTTCTCAGGTTCTCCCATTTTCCCCAGTTTAGCTTTTCTGTGTAGTTCCTCATTTCAGTTCGGTTTTCTTATTTTGTACTGTTTTGAATAAACAGCTCACCTTTTGTTAACGTTCTGTTCCTGCCTACATTGTCATTTGGGTTGAATATCTTCTTGTCCATGTCCAGTATAGCTCTACTTTAATCATTTCGCTTTAATGATATTAGTTCCTAACGTATTTAAGAACAGCTGTGATTGACTAAAAATATCAAAAACGTCTGTTCCATGTTATGGACTTTTTCATGACAGGAGATCCATATGCTGAAACAGTTATCATTATCATGAGGATCACGTGTTTCTGCTAAACTGTAAAAACATATTAAAACATATTGCTGACTATGGCTTGGAAAATAATATGATAAATCTAATTTCTTCACTTGTGAAAGATTATTTCCTTTGTAACCATCCAAACCATGAATAATGTCACAATAAATGACAGTTAAATAAATAACACAACACAAATTACCAACAAATTTACCCTACAATTCATAACCAGCAATGGTCTGTTTCCTAGCTAGGTAGTTTAAACTAAAATGGCACACATTAACATTCTGTTTCTGCTCCACACCAAGAAACAAACAATGGAAAAGCAGGTTGTTGAAGGGTTAAGAGCAGTTGTTTTTTTTTTAACCTAAGCTGTCATACATCTGATGGTATGCTTTCTTGGAACATAGCACAGTTATTTTTATTTCACTTTGTCTTTGGCTCAACGTCTTGAAGATGCAAAGATGTTTATCTTTGCATCCATGCTTCCATGTAAATGTTTGATGGTATTCTGAGATGGATAACTTACACTCACAAAGAACACAAAGTGAGTTTTCAAAAACGGGCAAAACATTGTTCAAATAAATGAAGTTTCTGAACATCTTTTAAATCAAATTATATGTTACAGTAATAGATTAATAAATTTCTTAATTCATCCAATAATTCCTCACTTTATACTACTTAATGTGCCGATCTGTGGGAGCCCAACAAGCAAGTAGCAAGCTATTCTAATACCAGGAGCTCCCTTTTCAGGTGTGTTTACACACAATGTGCAAACATTGTGTGTAAAAAATATAAAATGTAACACAAAATGTAACACATTGTGTGCGGGAGTGAATGTGAGTGCGAATGGTTGTCTGTCTCTGTGTGTTAGCCCTGCGACAGACTGGCGACCTGTCCAGGGTGTACCCTGCCTCTCGCCCTATGACAGCTGGGATAGGCTCCAGCGCCCCCCACAACCCTGAAAAGGATAAGCGGAAGCGAATGGATGGATGGAGGTTATCAGAATGAGTGCATAACTGGCTGTTTGGATGGCTCAGTGAGTTGTGAGCTTAGTGCCACATATTTGTCCACGTGAACATATTTGTGTCTTCAATTCAATTTGTTTAATTCAATTCACTTTTATTTACATGGCACCAAATCAGTCGCCTCAAGGAGCTTTATATTGTATGGTTGACCCTTGGCTGGTTCCACAGAAGAGGGGCCTGAAAACTGAAGGCTCTCCCTCTCATTCTACTTATAAATACTCCAGGAAGAACAAGTTGGCCTGCAGTGTGAGAGCGAAGTGCTCTAATAGGGTGATATGGTACTACAAGGTCATTAATAAGATAAGATGGGGCCTGATTATTTAAGACCTTGTATGTGAAGAGCAGGATTTTGAATTCAATTCTGGATTTAACAGGAAGCCAATGAAGGGAAGCCAAAACAGGAGAAATATGCTCTCTCTTTCTAGTCCCTGTCAGGACTCTTGCTGCAGCATTTTGGATTAGCTGAAGGCTTTTCAGGGAGCTTTTAGGACATCCTGATAATAATGAATTACAGTAGTCCAGCCTGGAAGTAATAAATGCATGAACTAGTTTTTCAGCGTCACTCTGAGACAGGATATTTCTAATTTTAGAGATGTTGCGCAAATGGAAGAACGCAGTCTTACATATTTGTTTAATGTGGAGTCAACAACACATTTGGCACACCTACAGAAATATAAACCCATGGACACATGATTCCTAATGTACATTATTGTTTTAACCCTTTTTCTGGCAATAATTCTGGTTCTACAACATTGTTTTTGCCAAGTGATTGTATAATACAAAAGGCACAGAAGGCATGTTCTTTCATATTTACCTGACTTCACAACAACATACCCAGCTTTGACAGGTACAGTTTTTTTTGTTGTTGGTTGTTTTTTGTTTTTTTTCGTGTTTCTTCATAGGAAATGTTATGTATTGTGATTGTTATTGAAAGACATAAAGCAGTATATAGTACTAGCATAAAGCATGAAGTAGTTTTTAAAACATGCTTAGGGCCTGTAACTGATGTCTATTGGCATTGTGTGTAGATTTAGTGTTTTTGTCTTTAAAACTTAACATTGACATTTATGTATTTCAACTGTAGAAGATAGCAGGTTGGGTTTTTTCTGTTTTAATGTTGTTGCTATGCATTTCAGCATCCAAATCAATGTTCCGCATTTGAATCAACAACAAATATTTGCTGCTGAAAGTGACAATTTTGCTATTTAGGTGCTGTTGCTTGGTACTGATTCCTATGTATCAACAGGTAATTTGAATTTATTCTGTGACTAACATTCAACAACAATGGAAACACAATCATCGACAAACTAGAGTACCACCCTTGTAAGCATCAACAACTCTCTATGCAATTGTTCAGCTACAGTATGTGTTGTCTCATGTATTACGACGTAAAACTGCAGTTGTTTTCAGGCTGCTATGGTTTCTGGTGCTGCCCTTGCCTTACCTGCACAGTTGTAGGACAGATGGGAGACCACCGCTTTGTCCCATTATGCGACATGTTCAGCACAACTGATCTCAGCCATTGGGATACCAAATGTTATACCTCCTGCTGCCTTGACCATTAAGGTTGGGATTCGATATAAATACGGCATCAAGTTAAATTTGTCAAAGAAATTCTTGTTAAAAATTTCTGCTGTTTTTTACATTCCCACAGTCAGAAATAAAGAGAATCAAGTATTAGTAATAGTTCAGTTCAGTAATAGTTAATTCAATCCAATCTTTTTAAAGGCACTTTATTTTTTAAGGTAAAGACCCTATAATAATAGAGAGAAAATGCCAACAATCAAATGACCCACTTTGAGCAAGCATTTGGCAACAGTGGAAAGGAAAAACTCATTTTGAACAGAAAGAAATCCATGCTCAGGCAGGGGCAGCTATCTGCCACAACCGATTGGGGTGATGGGAGGAAGAAGAAGCTGTAACTAATGACTGGATAAAGTGGTAAAAGTGTATAATTACCAAATATTTCTCTACAGGGGTCTATCTGTAAGGACATCATGAGTTCCTGTTTCTGTGTGTGGTGCTCTTGGTGTGAGATGCACCGTGAGTTAAAAATTCGCAAGAAAAGCACAAGTGTCATCAACATGCAGCCTGCACCAGTTAAGTCCACAGGCAAAGATGAGAGTCTGTTATGGCTTCATGCCAGGGTTGCTTTTCATTGGTGTGCTCTGTCTTTAAAAAGGCATTTGATTGAGTTTAACTATGTTTGGTGTGACTAAGTGAACTGGTATTTGGTTTTGACTTTTTTTTTAAAGAGCTGGTAAGAGGTTTGCTTTGATGATCTAAAGACAAGAACAATATGTTTTATTCATGCATATTTTTAATTTAATCCCTGTTTTAAAGATCTCTGACTCATCAAACACATTTGCAATAAATAAAACAAGAAACGGTCAAAGGCCTTACGATGGGGGATCAGACAAATTGTAACTCAAATCATTATCATAAATCTAACTTTTAAAGAAAGCAGAGTTAAAGTTTGTCTTTGCCTTAGCTCATTCAGCATTCAGTCTAGGTTTACTTTGTGACTTTCAGTTTTCTTGTTTATGATTTGATAGAACAAAAAGATTAATAACATTTTTGAAATCTTTGTGTAGTTCTGTAACTTTTTTTCACATGGTTTTTGTCCTTCATGTAAGTTTCTATCTTTCTGCACCGGCGCTCAACAAAAGAAGTTGTCAAATGAACTTAATAAAAGCATTTTTCCTTTTATGTAAAAATTTACAATGTAATTTTCCACTGTTTTATACTTTTGAATGAAATCCGTCCTGACTATCCTGTTATATGTTATTTTCTGAATATTCAGAATATGTTATATCCTGTAAACAAGATCTCATGAGTCCCCAGTGTAGTGGCAGTGAAGTCAGCAGAGGCGTCTGAAATGTGTCACGACAAACTCAAGGCTACGTGAACATATTTGAGTAACAATGGAATGGAAATCCATTTTGGCTTCCACAGAAAGGTGGAAACTGCTTCAGCTGCTTTTGCAATCACTCACCTTCACACTCGACTCATTTTGATATCCTTGGCAAGACAAAAAAGAAAAAAAAACCATATATAAAGGTTTTACTAATTTGTATCTTTTATAAAAAAAAAAAAAAAAAAACTTTGGCAAAAATAATCTTTCCAATAATCTTCTTTCCAGACTCTTACTTTCATTTTATTTTCACTTTCTACTGTACTTTCCGGTAAGTATTTTTAAGTACAGAAGATTACACCCCTAATTTAGAAATGTACCTTTCAAATATTGGGGAAAGAAAACCCTTAAACCAGCTGTACTTTCCTTAACGGTAACTAAGGCTTGCGTATATGTTAGTATAAAAAATACAGAGTCCCAACATACATTTCTGTGTGATTTTATCCTTCAAATTGCAGCAGGATGAAGCAACAGGTTTGCTTTGTATATGTCATCATAACTTATTCATTTAACTACAAATTAATAGACATGTATTTAAATTAAGGAAAATATCAACAATCACTGTGTCAACTAAATGCTTGTACCCCCTCAAACCTGTGAGATTCCACATCTGCAAGAGTTGGTGTATTAAGTGTTCCAAAAGTAATTATTTTATTAAATGCAATTTTAAATGTCCTATAAACACTTACATCACACTTCTCAAAGGCTCACAATACATTGTTGCCAACTCTGTTTTTGGTTCAACAATCTTATGGTATATACCCCCATCTGCAGGTCATTAGTGGTAAAACATCTACTAAGTGAGAGGTAGTGGGACAGTGTGTGGGTTTTGCAATAGCAGTAAGACTGCTTAAGATGTAAAACTACTCAGTTTGCGAAGCACTCCAAAAAATATGATACCTTACAGCTATTATCTTACAAAAAACAGAACGATAGATTAATCACAGTTTGGAGAAAACATCCTGTAAATGCTGTATAGGCAGCACTTAGTAAGAGCTGTTTATTTAAATACATGAAATGATGTTAAGTCATTCTTTAATAACTGTTCAAGCCATATCTTTGCATCATTTTAATGAGACCGACCTAAGGACCAGTGATCTCTTTTTAGCCAGCTGTTCAGGCACCACTGTATCCAGCAGCCTCCTCACTAGGTCCAGGCGTCCTGTCTTGATCAGAACCCTCGATAACTCTGTAACCTCTGCCGTGTGTGTCGTATAAAGGTACCTCAGCTCAGCCTTCACTATGTCCTGAGAGTACAGCTCCTCTGCCTTGAGCACCCACATTTCCAGCTGAGTGATGACAATGCCAGGGTCAGGGTGTCCCTGCATGAACAGAGTCAGGAGAGCCTGTAAGAGGCAGCGCAGGGCTGTGGTGTCTCTGCTCCCTTGTTTCTCTAACTCCAGAGCTTTTTTGAAGCAGTCTACGGCGTTCTGCTCCTCGCCTTTCACGAGGAGGCAGCGTCCTCTGAGCACATGAAGTTCCGGTAAGCAGTCTCCCAGCTCAAACTTCAGAGCGTGAGACAAACTCACCAGGGCACTATTTATTGCACTCTCATCCACCAAAAGGCTCTCCTGGAGTGCATCTACACCCATGTAGTAGTATACCTGAAATGAAAAAGATCAACTTGAAAGCCTTGTTGGGACATGAAACACAGAATTTGACCAGCTTTGCACGTTATGCTTTTACCTGTGCCATCTCCAAATGTGTTCGAAGACAGGGGCGTACACCGAGTACTTTGTCTAAGTCTTTTCTAGCTTCAATTAGCTTCTGTCGGTCTGGGATTCCACCATCACCAAACTTTGCCTTCTCGAGGTCCCCCATGTACAGGATTATATTGATCTACACAGAGAACATGTTGTCCAAATATGTAAACTTTTTACATGTACTAGCCACTTTAAACTAATACAGCTATTCTGGCCTTAAAAGGAGCTGTCATAGCAACTGACTTGATTAGTCGTAGCTACAGTACCTTGGCACGGGTGCAGTGAGCCTGCCAGTTGAGTTCTGGATCTGGCAGCACATTTAGGGCCATATTGCAGATCCCTGTAGCCATTTCATGTTTACCCAGCAGAGAGAAGACTCTGGCCAGAAGGTTCAGGATAAATGCATCGTCACTGGCCATATTTATGGCCTGGAAACACAGACAGAGCTGTTATTATCTCATCTTAAAAGGGAACAGTGCAGCAGTATTTCTTAAACCCATCCATCCATTCGCTTCTGCTTATCCTTTTCAGGGTCTGGAGCCTATCCCAGCTGTCATAGGGTGAGAGGCGGGGTACACCCTGGACAGGTCGCCAGTCTGTCGCTCATTGTTAAACCAAATGAGCAATTAGTAAGTGAGTGAGTTAATGACTTGTTCAGCAGTTTTTAGCTGAAAAAAACCTTCTGTTGTCCTAGTTAGATACATATTTTTCAATCTTTTGAACTGAAAAGTCTCAAATAAAAAGCATTTCACTCACTGGCCCTCATTTTAGGTTTGACAGCATTTTAGCAGATAAAGGTGAATGGCTTAAACATGAATTGAGCTGAAGTTTGGGGAAGGCCTCGGAGAGGACTGGCAGCGGCTCCCGGGCCTGGAAGATCACCGTGTACTAAATAGAAGTGAAGAAGTGAAAGAATTGAAAAGGGGAGCGAGGGAGGGGCACAAAAACGAACAGCTTGTAGAACTGGGGGAACATATATAGGTAAGAACCTGAAGGAGCGTGTTCGGAGGCGAGGCCCCACTCCTGAAATTCAGATACTTTATCGCTAACAAAAGTCAGATGACAGGCTGATTGCAGAGGTTTAGTCCTAACAGTTTGAGGGAAAGTAATTGTTTTTTTCCCAGCTTGGTGAGAGGTGCATGAGTTAACTCACAGTTCCATAACAGGACAGAGGATCCGAAGCCGAGAAACCGCAGTCGTGTATGGACATGGGCACAGGGGAAAACTCCTTCTTCCTTTCTAACATGATGCCGACATAACACCAAGCTAGAGCTGATGGGAGAGACGAGAAGATTTGGTTTTTCAGCTTTTATTTTTTGTAAATAGCATGTACTTGAGGAAATAGACAAACGAACTGGCCTGTAGTTTTAACAAAATGATTTCAGCAACAAAAACTAGTAGCTCATTGATATGGATAATACACCTTCACCGACTTGCAATCAATAATAATAATGATAATATGATAATGATAATAATCATAATAATCATAATGAGACTGTTGGGACTATGTTGAATGTTTTTCTCTTGATAATAATCTTTCCCTTGTGCAATGATTGACTTTGACTTTCCAAATTGTTTGGGAATGACCTCTTCAGACTGACGCGTAGACAGAATTGGTTGTGTAAGATCATTGTAGACGTTCTTTTAGAAATATATAATGTCATGATCTAATATGTTGTGTGTTGTAGTTTTAATCTGAGACCTTTAAGGACCACATGCGGAACAGATTTGTATTTCTTTTTTCTCTCTGACTCCATGACTGAAAGCATTTATCATGACTGTATTGATCTGTCTTTAGTTAGTTTGTATAATCAGATTTTAAATACAAACACCTTTTTGCAAAATTTTGCACAAACTAATACATTTATAATCAATCTCTGATTATTAGAGTCTGGTGTGGCCAGTCTTCATGAACACCTTTAATTTTGATTTTTTTTTGCTGTACTGAAACTTGAACATCTGTAAGAACTGTGGATTAATTTCAATACAATACTGTCACATGTTTACCTTTGTGCTGTGTTTTCTCAGATTCCAGTGTTTCTTTCAGAAACTGGAGTCCTTTATTGTAGTGCGAAAGTCTGGAGTACTCAGAATCCTCTTTGGTCTTTACTATGTTGTCCAGCCTGCAGACAGAAAATAACTTGAATATTTTCACACTGTGTGGTGATAGTAATCTAAATCATATCACCCTGTACCTTATGTAGATTGTTGCCATTTTAAAATACCAGCTTCGTTTTTCCTCTATCGGTATCTGAAAAACAGCACCACAAGTTAAGTAATACCCCACTTAAATGCTCCCTACAACATGAAACAGTGATTTGAAAGCTCTTATCTGCTACTAAATTTGTGATTTTAGACTACAACAAAGTAAAATGGCCTCATTGTCTTCCTGTGTGTAATCTTTTGAGCATTGTCATATTCCTTCAGTTAATTCCAGTAGAAAAGCTAGAATGATGTGAATGCTCACCATCTAACCAGTCATTATATCAGTGCTCCGCTTTGTCTTTACACTCTGCAATGTGATTCTTGGCAGTTAACCATGTGTTGTCTCTTTATTTAAAGTATTCATATCTCTCACCAGGTCACCCCCATAATGCAGGGCTCTGTTGTAAAAAGACAGTGCAGTGTTCAGTCGCTCTCTCAAGTCGTCGTCGCTGTCCAGCTCTATATCGTACGGAAAGACGTAGGCCTGCTCGACCAGGCAGCGTGCAGCCATAATCCTGATCTCATCCTGAGACGCCTCACCGCCGTCTAAGCCCATGAGGTTGGACACTTTGTCCACACACTCCCCTGCATCCAGTTCTCGTCCCAGCTTGTCATACACGTAGCCCAGGTTTGCCCAGGCATTCAGATTCCCAGGGTCCTCTTTGCAATTGCCCCTGAAAGGACAGAACACACAGACAGTGGGGCTTAGAATCAGGTCCAGATTAACATAAAGAGCTATCAGATCCAGGAGGCACTTAAAGACATTTCACACAGCATCTAACTAAAAAAATAAGAAATGGCAGCTGTGAGTGAAGTTGGAATTTTAACTATAGAATTACCAGCTACTGCAGTTATGACTATGTTGCAATGGGATAATTATCTTTTCTTCATTTTCTTGTTTCTTGTACTGTGCAGTAAGAACTGATAATTGTATATAGTGACATATTAAAAAAGGAATACTTGTGGATAGTTATAGTTGAAAAATTAAAGTTCAATGTATAAAGATGTATGTATTCATATATTTATTTATATGTGTTCACACTGTATAATCAAAACAGACATGTATGATGAACTAGCTAGGGGTAGGAATTAATAAGCATTTGCTTCCTCCCACTCTGTTTTGAACTGGGAGTGGTCAGCATTTTTTTTCTCCATGTGAATAGGATGGCTTTCAATGATTTCACCTTTATTAGTTGTTTTTTTTGTCCATTATTGTTACTTATATGTTCAAAATATAGATCTGATTGATTCATTACGATAGGGGTGGACACAGACACCTGGCCAGGTAAAACTACCTGGCCAATTGCTGTGCCAGTTGAATGACACCTCCTGTTTAGTCTTTAAGTGAAATTTTACATAGCTTACATGAACAAAGTTCTCATACTTGCAAAGATATTTAATCTAAACTAATTTTTAGATTACTACTCAAACTAAGTACTCAAAGGACTAAGTGGTCTGTCCTTCACCCAACTGATGATGGATGGATGGATGGATGGATGGATGGATGGATGGATGGATGGATGGATGGAAGGATGGATGGATGGATGGATGGATGGATGTATTGACAGAAACTGACATTTCTGTCACCTGCAGCTGTGAATAGTGCTGTCAGCCAAATGCTAACGTGTTAATATGACAAATGAGTATTTCTGATTTTCATTATTTACCAATTCTTCTTAAAGATACTTTTGACTTGTCTCTTGTCACAAAGGGTTATAGCAGCTAATACCACATAGTTTTGTATTTCTGGCTGGCATTAAACCAGTCTTCTGTTGCTTGCAGAAAAATGGGTTCAACTTGCAGCACCATAAATGTGTCGCTGAATCATACGATAATAAAAGTGTCAATAAATAGTAAAAATTGGACAATCGAGCGCCATTTTAATGTCTAAAGTCTGCAGAGAGCTAAGTTACTTGAATTAAAATAAAAATGTGTATGATGTTTTTTACACATATAAACCTTCTTCACAACCTTCACAAGGCAACAAAAACAAAAGAAAGAAAAGAAAATGCCGTCAAGATCTCTGAAGAAATCATGTATTCACTGTGTATTTAATATCCTTCCTCTGACTCAGTGAATTTTCTGCATATTCTTCCTTAAAAAAAAGATGGCAGTGAATATTCACCTGAATATTTCCTCAGCAGTGTCCAGCTGTTCCAGGTTAAAAGCCAGCAGGCCCAACAGATTTCGCACAGCATATTGCAAATATCCAACTTCTGCTTCTAGCTCAGCTCGCAGGCTTTCCTGTCTTAAATAAGTGTCCCGATGTCTCAGCTTCACTGGCCCAGTAGGATCACAGTTAAGATTTAGATCCAGGTGGAAGTGACCAGGGATGTAGTCCATGTCCTCCATGAGAGTCTCAATGTCCTCTGTGTTTTCCCTTTCTGTGGCCTCCATCTTCTCTTCTTTAAGAAACGCTAAAAATGCTAAAAAATAATCTTAACCAGGGTAATGGTTAAGGTAGCAGAAGATCGTACCTAAGAACACACCTTGTCCTCTTTAGTCGACTTTCACATAAGTCACTCTTGTGCTCCAGGTTTGGACAGGTTGAACAGGTTGGGCTTGGGAGTGACTGGGAGTGGAAAAGAATGATAACTGAAGATAGTGTGAAGCTGTTGAAAAAATATGTTTGCCCACCTTTTTATTCTTATTGCACAATCAGAATTCTTGAATACATGAAATCATCTATATTCATGTTTATTGTCTGGAAATAAAACTGCCACACTTCTGTTCAGCCATGTTTCTTTGCCTAATTTGTATGTGCGAGCGTGCGTCTCTCTCTGTCTCTGTGTGTGTGTGTGTGTGTGTGTGTGTGTGTGTGTGTGTGTGTGTGTGTGTGTGTGTAGGTGGGTGGGTGGGTGGTAGGGTGTATTAAAAGTCCCTCGTGACAGGATGATTTAATTTCTGACTGAGTTTTGTAAAATTATCTTTGTGTCTTTGTTTTGAGAGATATTTGAGATTCTTTAGCCTTCCCTCTAAGCCTGTTTTATCACACACAAGAATGCAAACCATCACACTCAGAGTGACTGAGGAAACAGTCAAACCCAATCTGTGTTCTTAATCATTATTTGGGTAGTAAGTATGATTTGAAAATGGTATTTTTTTCAAGGCATAACAAAAAATGGTCAGTTATAAAAACAAAAAAGAAAGCGTGTGTATTGGAGATATGCAAATACCTTCAACAGTTCAACAAAAGCAGTGAATCCCTGTAAATCCTCACCTTATCATTCTGTCTTTGAAAATCAGATAAAGATGAGGTGAGCACTTTCTGTTACTGCGTGCTCCTGCGAACAAAACCAAACTCTTCCACTAGAGGGTAAACTTGCATTGTGATAAACCAGCCTGATGGTGCAACAAAGGGAGCACGCTCGTTCAGTGTTACAAGACTTTACTGACACTGAGTGCAACATCACTTTTATCAGAGGAAAAAATCTATCAGATAACGTAGCTAAAGGCAAAGCTCCAAGCTTGAAACAGCATAGGAATGGGTGTCATAGTCTCAGGATTATGTGCTGTGTCTAAAACTTGAATCTTTAGTTAACAAATGTGAGTTTTGGATTTGTGTTTAGGTTTTTCTGTATTTGAATTTAATTTTTTTTTTCATATTTTATAATACTGAGGCTCATTTTTATTACACGAGTTCTAGCTACAGTTTTTTTTTCATACCTTGTGTCAATTTTACTTCCTTCTTTGCGTTTGTCTTGATTATTTTCACCATGTTTCCTAGTTACCCTGTTTCCCATTTCCAGTCAACCCTCAGTGTGTAACTAGTGCATGCTTTTTGTTGTGTTACGTTCCTGTTGTGCCTCCCTGTAGTCTTTGTGAGCTCTACTGTTTGTTTAACCCTTTATACTCTGTTTTGTTGCATCTCTGGTTTTTGTGAAAGTAAATTCCAGTAGTAACAAATCAATATTTAACATGAACAATAAAAATTTAAGACACCCAGGAGGAGCTAAAGTTAAATAAACTTTATGAGTTTATGAGTATTTTTTACCATAAACTAAGTTAAGTTTGATAGGATAGCTTTCCAAATTAAGTTTTGAAGGTTTCCCTGCAGATCAGGGGTCACATTTGTGGAAAATGTACTGTACATGTCTGGTGTTGTAATGGTATTTCACCACTCCTCGTAGTGGCCAGTGTTACTGCAAAATAAGCAAACTAACATTAAAATCCTTTGCTGTGGTTCTGAATTGCAGCACTTTTGAAAAACAAAGAGGGAGCGTTTACACAAAGGTCAGCGAGCAAACTATCCGCAGTCCTAAACATGCAGATTTTAGTTTGACTGGAAACTTGAGCGCTTGAGGCGAACCCACGCAAATAAAGAGAGAACATTCAAACCCACATGCAAAGGCCTCAGTCAGGTTTGCACAGTGCTGATGCCTCTGAACGACCGATCAGAAAGTGTTGTATAACATGCATTTGGTACTGTAGATCTCCCTCAGTGGGCAGCCCTTTTTTCCATTTGTACCACGTGGGTGTGCAGAAATCAGAATTTTCTGCTCTCAACAACCGTTGCCATGGTGGTCATCATGGATACCAGGCTGATAGCATGGCAACATAATGATTACAGATGCCTGTTTGTATGACTGTACGCCCCAAAGAAGCAAATTTAAAGGCATTTCTGTCGTAAGTGACCACATGCTAGTGATACATTTTGAATTCTCATCTAACAAACACAAAGAGGTTTATAATAGTGACCTGACCCCCCAGAACACCCACCTGGCTTTTGTTGTTTACTCCCACCTAAATTGAGATTATAATAGATGTTTCAAATGCAACATGTTTTGCTTGTAGACTAACACCCTGTTAACCTCCTTAATTGTTTTGATGTCAGTCTTAACCTCATGCACAGACAGTGTATTATGACTGACATATGCAAAACCAACACTCAGCCTGACAAACAGCATCACATTTTTGCACAAATATAGCATTTTTTGTGAAAGCTGCACCTGTGTACATTTCATTAAGGGTCTTTAAATTCATTTCTGCAGTCGAGTTAGGATGCTTGGAGCCTCCAATGAGATGTGAGACTGAATACACAGGAAAGTGTCATTAAACCAGAGATCTCTCCAAGCTGCTCTCTCCTCAGCTTTTGTTAAACCATTACAATCAGTGCAAAATACTGGTTCTAGAATCAACGTAGCTTAAATAATGAAAAGTAGACATAGTCTTATATCCAAGCTTAATCTTCATGCCATTTCAGAAAGAATGAGACAGCCTTAATCCAGCTATTAACCCATTTTTATTTGCTACAAATTTAGCCCCCCCTACCTTTCCTAAGTAGAGTCTTCCATTTTGTCCGTCTGAGACAGACATGCACAATCACTAGCTGCTAATATTTGGAAACCCCTGCCTTTGCATCTCACTTCATTGCTGTCCACTACAACGGTATTTCCACTCACAGTCAGCTTCATCCTGGCAGCCCGAGCAAGTGTTCACAGTGAAAAGCATCTCTTCAGCTCTCCAGAGGCCCTTCCTGACTGCAGATTATGCCACTGAATGTGTTTTTGTGGTGTCTCTGGTTGTGACAGACATTTGTAATAAGAATGCAGCATTTTCAGTAAGTTATAGCAGAAAAAGATTACTGAAAAGGATGACTATAATCGTTCCTTTCTTTCTTACATTTTTTGATATGTATCTTTATTAGTTAGCGCCTGGAAAACAAAAATCCAGTTATACATCCAAAGCCATAAGGAAAACAAAAACTTGGTGGAAAACCTGTGCCTGCTGTGGATCTTATTGAATTGTCCTTGACAGCAGCATTTAATCTCCTTTGTTCCAAAACATTGACCCACTGGTCTTTTAACCACAAGCTTTAACCTGAGCTCCAGTTCCACATGAGGGGGTCCAGGCCCGTTAAGGAAAAGTCTGCCTGGGCTGAGTTTGTGTGGGCCGGGAGAAAGTTTCCATATAGAGACACAGGGTATGAGTAAGTGTGTGTTTAGTGTATTAAGAGTAAAGTAATCCGGCCTTTGCCACAGAGATCTGTTGTATTTCATTACACTGATTAGACTCTTCATTCCTTCTCTTGGGCGGTGACCCATGTTAAAAGCTTCTAAGTTACAGCGGACCACGAATTCTAAAATAAATTCTAAAATAAATTCTAAAATACATTATTAAACATTTGACCAAATATTTTTGATTTAATTAATTTAAATGAAAACATTAAAAAATATTTAATTAGCTCCCATTTTAATTAATTAATGCATCATTAATTATATTTTCTATTCATTTTGGCACTTGGGGCCTTCCATACATGGTCACACCATCACCTGCTGTGTTCAAAGAAGAGCCTTGCTTTTCTTTTTAGTGCACAATGGACAAAACTATGAGTCCACATCTTTTAATCTTTGAATTCAGGTGTTTTTAGCTTTATGAAAGCCGTGCAATCTGTCTTTACAAGCATTTGTGAGAGAATGGGTCGCTCTAAAGAGCTCACTGAATTCCAGTGTGGTGCTGTAACGGGATGCTGCCATTACAACAAGTTCATTTGTGAAATTTCTTCCCTCCTAGATATCCATGATCAACTCTGAGTGGTATTATTACAATGTGGAGACATCTAGAAACCACAGCAACTTAACCATAAAGTGGCAGACCACGTAGAGCAAGGGAGCAGAGTCGACGACGCTCACAGTTGTAAAAGTTGCTAAACCTTTGCTGACTCACTACTGCTGAGTTCCAAACAAAATTAAGCACTGGGAGCATCATGCCATGCGTTTCCATTACTGAGCAGCTCCCTGAGTGTAATGTGTCGGTGGCCCACTGCTTTTGTCTTTTTAGGGCATTTCAGATGTTTAGATTAGTCCTTTTTAATAGTTTATTAATGCCCACTTAATTTTTGCGTGGAGGAAAAGCTATCAAGTTTTTCACAAAAAGGCAAAAGCAAAAATAAGAGCTTCATCTTGTGCTTTTGTCCTTTTGCCTGCATAAATGTGGACAACAGGCAGATGGATACAGACATCACATCTTCACCCAAAGGTCGCCTTTCATGACTATGTTTAGATTATGTCACATATGTTTCTGTTCCATGATGCTCACACATATAACTGGTTGATGTTCACATATATAACTTGATTGGAGTATCAACATTAACAAGCTTATCTTCTTCTTATAAAACGCACAGACGTCTTTGTGCAGAAAGGAGGATAAAAGGACTTTTTTGTTGTTTTTGTTTTACTTTGTGCTTGTCGTTTTATTTTGGTAGTTCACCGTTTTCTCCGGTACAGAGCTTTCACACAGATTGTATTTTGAAAGTTTTCCCGGAAGCTACCGAGGGTTATCGCTGGTGACTTGACGCTATCGGGTCTCCTCTCCCACTCTGCGGTTCCTGATCGCTGTCATCATGCAGGTGGAATCTGCGCAGTGTGGCTCAGCGTACAGCGTACAGCGTACAGCCTCACCGAGCTGCAGCTCAGGACTCGGGACTCCGGAGATCAGACTGCATTTACAGCTGTAAAGGAACCAATCAAGGAGGGGAAAGCAACAAATTGGATTTCCCCCCTCCGCTATCACTTGATGACCATCAGCAGTTTAGATACAGAGGCTTCATCAATTTAACACAACATGATGACTGAGTTAAAATAACCCACATATCGAGGATTTCTCTCTGTATCATACTGCTGGAATAAGCTCACACTGCTGTGTTGATACTGTCAAACAGTTTTCCTTGCCTGGCGCAGTCCAACTCAGCAGCAGTCGCATAGGATGCCATACAAGCCTATAGGAAGTGACTCTCGCAGCTTGACAGGGAACAATCTCCGAGGAACCCGAAGGACGTAATCTTTGTCCTGCGGATCTTATCGGTGTAAAAACACTCATGGCGATGGACGAAGGTACTGTCAGCGAGAGCATCCCAGACCTCAAAGACATAGAGGCGAAAATCGGCCGGAAGACCCCCGAGGGTTTGCTCAGGTGGATGCGGGAAGAGTCGTCCTCTCTCCGGGCAGACGCCAAGCTGGCCCTCGCGCACGACACCGGTAAAGAGACCGGGATGAAGAGTTTGGATGAAAAGATAAGAAAACTGAAGATGGAGATGGTAAGAATCCACAGTTCTCATATATGTGCCCGCAGGATGCGTGGCAGACTCTTGTTTTCCAGGATGTGTCATTCACGAAAGTCAGCCAGGTACAGAGCTGTCATTATGACGATGAATGCTGAGCCCGGCTCGGCTCCGGCAGACAGCCTTGTTTCGAGTACTTGAACATTTATCAGCAGATCGGGTTGTCATTGCTGGGGTGTATCTGAAATTATGTGCAGGTACAGAAGCCTGCACAACTCCTGAGAGCCCAGAGACAGAGGTACTTAACATGTTATCTGACTATACAGCATGCCATTTTTAAAATTTCCTTACTTCTCTTTATTAAGTTCTTGTTTTCTGTTCAACTCTTTATATTAAAATAACTGAATGTATAAGTAACAATCCATAAAGTAGTATAACAGTATAATTTTGACCAGATGAACCTAAACCACGTCATGTTCACATGATCACTAGCCTAACACAATAAACTGTAGTGTAACGCTCCACTTGACAGCTGAGAAAAAATAAATGACTGTGTTTTATACTCCAAGTCGTCCTTCCTGCTCCCACTGTGCGCTCAGAGCCCACAGTGGGACTCACTGCAAAATGTCAGCATTCTTTATGACCATATAATCTGTATTTCAGAAAGCGCTAAATGCCAAATAATTTTCTTATCCCGTGCCTCTGGTGATGAATGATACTTTAGGACAGTGAGATTTAAGGATGCTTTTAGGGCCCCTGCTAATTGTTAGGCCTCCGGTAAGCTCACTAACCTCAGCTTTTTGGATATTCCTTAATTATTGTGTGGGCTCACACATTTAAAGCTATAATAAGTAAGTGTTTTACCTTAATGTTGGGAATAATACCAGCCTCAGCATGATTTCTGAGTTCGCTGACTCGTAACAGCACCAGTAGCATCTCATTTGTTCCCACTCCTTCCCTCAAAAGTGTCAGTCTGTATGTAACTTGGGAGAATGTATACAGTTTTCCAGGAAAGTACATTTCTAAGGAGACACTGAGGGCAGAGCTCGGCAGATTATGCCTACATGACACAAAATCAAGTGGTTTAGCTGCTGGTTAGACACAAAGCAAGAGCAGGATTACTTTATTCTAATAACTTGCAATAGATGCCAACTTTTCTCTTATGGCTGTTTGTGGCTAAAATGTTCCTAAAGTTAGGTGGATGAAGAGTAAACCAACAAATTCTATTCCATATCAAGATGACGATTTTGTGTTTCACGGCACATGGGTGCCCCTCCGTGAGCCTGGTCTGCTGGATGTTTCTTCCTTTTAAAGGGGAGTTTTTCCTTCCCACTGTCTCCAGTCTCCAACTGCTTTCATATAGTGGTGTCGTCTGATTGTTGGGGTTTTCTGAGAATTATTGTGGGGTCTTTACCTCACAATATAAAGTGCCTTGAAGTTACTTGTATTTTGATTTGGCACTATATAAATGAAACTGAATTGAATTGTTCGTTGCGCGAGCAGCTGCTATGATTTGTTTCACTACAATTCAGTACTGGAGCTTAAAAGACTCCAAAGTCCAGAGGCCTTTTATTACCAGTTGAAGCTACAGGGGCTGCTGTTATCACTGAGTAGCAAACGTTACATACGCCTGCTTTAAGAATTATACTTGCCAATGGATGTTTCAGCTTTTGGAAAGCTAAATGTTAGCATCAATCTCTCTTTAATGTCTTAGATAATGTAATTACTATGTTATCAACATGTCAAAATTAGCCAGTTAGGTCAGTGAAGTATTAATGTATTTTGAATCCAGCATAATTAAATTCTACGTTTACACCTAATGCAACACTTGCTGTGTCTTTCTGTACATTTCTTGTATTCTTTGGTAATGTTTTCACTTAGGATCGCCATAGGAGGTAAAATTAAAGATGTGACATTGACTTTGCTGTCGCTGTACGATTATGACAAAAATAATTTGGAATTTGTGGACTGATATCACACTTTTATACTCTTCCAGAGTACTCAAAGCACTCTATACAACACATTCACTTTCTTTAAGCTTAATGCTTTTTCTAACTACATTCACACTCCGATGGATGCATTGGAGAGCAACTTGGGGTTAGCATTTTGCCCAAGGATACTTGACATGCAGACTGGAGGAGCCAGGGATCGAACCACCAAGCTGCCGATCAGTAGGTGACCCGCTCTACCTCCTGAGCTACAGCCTCCCCTAACATGTGTGCAAACTAAATTTTAATATGAACATTGCTCTTATTATTAAGTAGTATAATACTAAGTAGTATAAGAAGAAAATCAGGAGTCTACATTCGATTAATAAGATGAATGATTAATGATGAATTTGATTGTGACTAAATGCAACAGATGTAATTTTACTTTGACTGGACTTGAGTAATAAAATGTGAAGGCCCCTTGTATCCACTCATTCAATAATTCAAGCTGCTCTTCGCTCTGCCAGCAGCTGCACTTTGTTTGGAAATAAGTGGAGGTAAAAATGCACACAGGACCGTGGTGAAGGCGCTCTCTTCCTATTGTCTAGCTGCGCTTGCACCATTTATAGAAAGTAATTTTTAACATATTGCATACATTTCTATCTTCAGTCCACTGGGCTTAATTTTGGTGTGATACATACTCATATCATACCTCTGAACAAGACTGTTTTTCAGTTTCTCTTATTAAATGATTCCATCCCTCGTTTATCCACAGCAGGCCGCTCTGTGTTTCTTCAGAACTGATTATTTCTTCTACAGCAGAGCTTCCGTTCAACAAGTACTTCTCTGTTTTCTTGTTTACATCAACCCCACCTCGCGTCAAACAGTGGAGGTCTGTAGCAATAATGCACCACTCTACAGTTGCCCCCCAACCATGTTCATGTATGTCATACATTCCTGCGGCAGATGCAGGCATGCACCCCGTCTCCCCATCTGTGGTTGTGACACAAGAGCGTGTGCGCTGCCACAACCGAACTTCCAAACCAAACAAGCTGTTTTCTGAAAGAGTCGCTCCAAAACACATTGGTTACATTCAAACATCCAAAAACACATTAGCAGTTTGGTCGCATGGTAGAAATAGAAGCTGATTTCACTCCAGGACTCATGATGGTGGCAGCATGTGTCTTAAGTTCGCTTGCTTGGTGTAAACAAAGTTTTCAGAAAGAAAGATGATCGGCTGTCATCGTCACATTTGTTTAGTATTTTCTGCCACATGTCTTTGAGTTTGAATTAGGCTCGTATTCCTTGAGCCTGTGTGTGTGTATATCTTAGGTTAGCTTAAATAGCTGGTGAGTAATAAAACGCTTGCTCTTAGGTTGTTGTATCAGTTCAGGGCTTTTGGTGACGGGTGTGGTCTGAGAACTAACTGATGTAGGCTCGTGTGAATCCATTGGAAGATGGATCACAAAACCTTTTTTTATTTTTTCAGAAGTGGTGTGTGTGAATGACTCAGATTGTTTTTTCCTTTTTTTCCCACAGAAGTCTTAAAAAACCCTTTTTCACATCACATCTGGGCCAAGTGCATATGTAGTCCTACATCTGAGTCATATCTGATCTCTGGACATGTTGACCACAATGTCAACGGAAATACGCATACGCGGGAGGTTTAGTGTGAACATCACATGGGTTCTGTAGTTGCAGCTTGCCTGTCTGTAATTTTGTGACCAGAAAGGCGCATTGTAATGGTAAATGGTAAATGGCCTGCATTTGTATAGCGCTTTACTCAGTCCCTAAGGACTGCCACCTGAGCTACAGCCACCCCGTAGTAATGGATGTGTTAGCTCTAAAAAGCAAAAAGTCTGAGTTTTAAGGTGTTTTTTTTCTTCTCATAATACATATATGTATTGTAAACATGGCAATATTTAGATATAAATCAGAATATAAATGAATAAATGAGTGTTAGTGGGTTAGTGTGTACAGAAGAAAGCTCAGCTGCTGTTGTAGGTTGTATAGTACCTAACCTAATTGCATATTTAGCCCACATTTGTATTCACAAGGCATCCAGACTTGCTGGAAATCTGTTAAGACTATAGAAGCAGGCTGGACTGTTAGTAGTTTTAGTCATTTATCAAGTTTTTTTGCAGAAGCGGGAGGACAGAGAGAGAAGTGATAGTGATGAAGAACCGTTTTCTAACTCTAAGGGAGTGAAACTTTCAGTACAGTCCGGGCTGCTCCAGTATGTGAGTGTGTGTGTGTGCCCGCGTGCGTGTGTGCGCATGCAAGTGTGCATGGTTATTTCATCTGTGTGAGTGGTGCTGTGTAATGAGAGTGCAGAAGAAGAGATGGGAGCATCATCTGAAATCTGCTTAGTAAGATGTGCAGTACTAATGTGTGTGCTCAGAGGCTGCAGGGAGATACTAAATGGAAGAGCTCTCTCGTGCACACAGTCGTGCACACAGCCTAGCAAAGTCACCATGTTGTTTTCTTCCCCAACATTTTCTGCCATGCTGATAAGCTCAAACAAACAGGCGGGATGTTAATGAGTCGGCTATAAACTGCTTCTTTTTCCACTCTGAAAGTGTGTGTTTGTGTGGACCCTTCTGTTCCTCATTCATCTGTTACTTTGTATCCATAACCACACTGTGTGGCATTGGTGGGCTGCAGCATCTGCCTGTGTAAGATCAACACTGTGCACATTTGTGTGTGTGTGTGTGTGTGTGTGTGTGTGTGTGTGTGTGTGTGTGTGTGTGTGTGTGTGTGTGTGTGTGTACGTTACCACTAATATTGAAGTGTTACTCTTGTTAAATAGCAGGAAAAACAAGAAGTCATGTTACATTTCTAATATAGTACGTCTTTGATTTAAACAAACATGTTGCATAACTCTCAAGTCCAGAAAAACACACTGATTCGATTGGCCTAAAGTACAAAATATAAATCAAAACGAAACTACAGATCTTTAAAATTAGCCTTTAAAATTGTTATGGTCATTAACATCCTATTTCCTGTTACTTGGATGATAGACATGGATCATCAGAGACTTTTAAGACAGCCAGCTTAGAGTCACCAAACAGTGACGTAGGATCATTATTCAGGAAAGCGAAAGATACG